GCGCCCAGGCCGCGCGCAGGGCCAGCGCGTGGGCCACGCACGGGTCGGCCCGCAGCTCCGGGGACAGGAACGCCAGCTCCGTGGTGATGTCTGCGGGGACACGGCGCGTCGGCGCGCGGGGACGGACACCCAGGGCAACCAAGACCCAATGGCACCGTGGGGATGGACATGGAAGACCCCCATGTCATTGGGGACACATGGGGAAGGACATCAAGGACCCCTGTGTCATGGGGGACACGTGGGGATGGACATCAAAGACTCCCGTGTCATTAGGGACACATGGGGACACGTGGGGATGGCCATCGAAGACCCCCGTGTCATGGGGGACATGTGGGAACATGTGGGGATGGGCATCGAGGACCCCCGTGTCATTAGGGACACATGGGGACACGTGGGGATGGACATCGAAGACCCCCATGTCATTGGGGACACATGGGGAAGGACATCAAGGACCCCTGTGTCATGGGGGACACGTGGGGATGGACATCAAAGACTCCCCCCGTGTCATTAGGGACACATGAGGACATGTGGGGATGGACTTCCAAGACTTTCATGTCATGGGGGACACGTAGGGATGGACATCGGAGACCCCTGTGTCATTGGGGACATGTAGGGTTGGCCATTGAGACCCAACAACACCAAGAGGGACACATGGGGATGGACATCGAAGATGCCCGTGTCATGGGGGGATGCATAGGAACACATGGGGATGGACATGGAGGACCTCCGTGTCATGGGGGACATGTGGGGACACGTCGGGATGGACATGGAAGACCCCTGTGTCATGGGGGACATGTAGGAACATATAGGGATGGACACTGAAGACCCCCATGTCATGGGGGACGCATGGGAACATGTGGGGATGGACATCAGAGACCTTTGTGTCATGGGGGACATGTGGGGATGGACATGGAGGACCCCCGTGTCATGGGGGACATGTAGGGTTGGCCATTGAAACCCAACAACACCAAGAGGGACACGTGGGGATGGACATCGAAGACCCCCGTGTCATGGGGGCCCCCTGGGGACACTCGGGGCCACGCGGGGCCCCTTGGGGACACTTGGGGGCACTTGGGGACACTCAGGGACCCTTGGGGACACCTGGGGACACTCGGGGCCGCACTCACCGCCCGAGTTGCGCGTGAACATGTAGTAGAGGATCCGGTAGGCCGTGAACTCGCCCACGTTCCCGGGCAGGTTGTCCCCGTACAGGGACTTGAGCTGCGTCTGGCACTGGTTGAACTCCTCGTGGTCGCCCTGGCGACGGGGACGTCACGGGGACATCGTGGGGACATCCCATTCCCGTGTCCCCGTTCCCGTCCCATGATCCTGTCACGCGTCCCATGTCCCACATCCTCATCCCGTGTCCCGTATCTACATCCCGTGTCCCCATCCTATGTCCTGAGTCCCTGTCCCACGTCTCTATCCCAGCTCCCATGTCCCCATTCCCATGTCCCACACCTACATTCCATGTCCTGTGTCCCCATCCCATCCCATGGGATCCCTATCCCAGATCCCATGTCCCCATTCCCACGCCTAAATTCCATGTCCTTTGTCCCCATCCCACGTCCACATCCCTTGTCCTTATCCCATTTCCCACATCCCCGTGTCCCCATCCCACGTCCACGTCCCTTGTCCTTATCCCATTTCCCACATCCCTGTGTCCCCATCCCGCGTCCCACCTTTTCCAGCGCGATCCGGGCGTGGGTCTCATAAACCTCCACCGTGAATTCCGTGCGGACGCCCTGGACCTGCGCGGGGCCGGCGGGATCCGCGTCAGGACACCGGGAATGCCGGGAACGCCCGGAGCCCCCCCCGGAGCCCCTTCGCTTCCCAGCTTGTTCCCGATGGATCCGGCGCGCTTCCCAGATCAGTTACCCCTGAACCCAGCCCCTTTCCGTATGGAATTGGTGTGTTTCCTGGTGCTTTTCCC